TTCAGGTCCCTCTCCAGGTGTAGACAGGGGCTTTCCTCCAGAGAAGGTGTCTCCTTCACCCAAGAACTGAGCAGAAGGCCCTGTAGCTCCTTATGGCCTCCGGAGCTTTGAACTGAATGACTGCAAGCAGGGCGGGGACCCCCTACCACCGATAAAGCAGCCAGGGCTCTTCACGATACTTTGCCCTCAAGACTCAACTTTTAGCAAGCTGTGTGCTAACTCAAAGATGCAACCCACTTCCTGCAAAGTCTGATGCCTTATTTTTACCCCATGTTCTTGTTAGGGCCCACCCGTTTCTAAACTCAGGAAACAGAAGTGTAAGCTCTGGGAGGTTCTTTTTGTCTTGTGTTGTTAAGACACCGGGTTTCTCTGTGTAGCCCTGGCTGGCCTGGACCAGGCTGGCATGGAACTCAAGAGATTTCATCTGCCTGCCTCTGGCCCCAGTGTGGGTTCGTAAGAATTTATGGTGATGTACATACATAACTTGGCTGAAGTTCTAAATGGAAAGTTCCTGACCTTCCTGCCTACCCAAGGCAGCCAACTGCAAATCTACACACCCTGTGAGAGCACAAGCGAGGCATCCCCAGACTGTATTCTCTCACAGAGCAGTCCAGTCTCAGACAGGTTCCAGTAAGTGGAATCCCAGAGTCCCATGACGCAGGCCCTCCATCTAAAACCTGGCCAGCCCACGGAGCCCAGTGCAGTTTTGTCTGGCAGGGAGGCCTCTCCAGGACTTAGGCCTGTCCCCACCGAAGCCAGTGCCCCCTGAGACCGCCCCTTTCAGGACCAAGGCCTGTTTCTGTCAGGACTTTCACTGCCCTGGACCAAAAACATTTGCTGAAACTTGCCTCATATCCAGATTCCCGGAGCTTTGGAAGCCAGCACAGCCACGCCCGACAGCAACGGGAGCATGTTCATCCAGGTGCAACCAACAACACTCTTACCCACACAGAAGCGAGGCGCAGGAAGGACTAACCGGTGGGCTACGGTGGGGCCTGTTCCCAGCTTAGTTCACTGCTGTGGGAAGACCCGCTCGCTGTGATGTCACTGCGTGGGCCTAGTCTGCTGTGCCCAGCGCAAGGCCAGAGCCATAAAACACGGGCTGTAAAGAGAAAAGTGCTCAGCAAAAGCCAACATTCATGCTTCTGGGGACTCCGATCCTTTCCTCATTGATTCCGACATTCTGTTTCTCGCCGAGGTTCTGGAAGACCAGCGGCTCCTCCTTGGCCTCAAATTAACACACGCATCAAAATGTTGCCTGTGTCTGGGACCATAGATTCTGCTCCAGCGGTGTGGGGTGAGGCCTAGAAAACTATATTTCCAATGGGTGTCGCAGGGGATCTGGACATTTCTTAAAGGTGGGCCTACAGTCCTCTTCTCTAAGCAAAAGATAAATAGCATGCAGCTCATGAAAACAGTACAGGAAGAATACCACCAGAGTGCCCACAGTTGTGTAGGACTGACCCAGGATTCTGACTCGGGCTCAGGGCACACAGTAGCACTGAGGCCTGTAGGCTGTTTGGTGTGGAGGAATCTAGGAGGTGGTCAGTGTCCTCCCCACACCCACCCCCTCCCTGTTAAGAGCTATCCTTCAGATCTGGAGTCCACTCAACCTCACAGCCAGCCCTTGGCCGTTACCGTCATCTTTTACCCTTACCCATGCTGATGTGAGTGGGTCTTGCCCCTCAGGGAAGTGCCACACAGCAGCCATGTTGAAGATGATGGCCCGCAGGTGTCTACAGATCCAGCCTCTACCGGCTAAAATGGCAGCCAGGAGCAGCGAGCAGAACTAAATTGTTTGATCGAAGGCTCTGCTGGAACGCCCAGAAGGACAGTGTAGGGTGTGTCTCCTCAAGCTGGGTGGGGCAAGGGATGATGGGAAGTGCTTGAGACTGTGGAGGAGTGAGGAAGCCGGCCCTCTCGGGACCACCTGTGTCTCCTTGGCTCGGCAGGCACAGAGCTTTCTGAGGCAGCTTATTAGCATCCTGGTGTGCACACTGCCAAGTGGTCAATTGATTCTACATGGGGGTCTGAGGGAGGGAACTAGCCTAACGCCTCCATTTGTCCCTCTCTGGCTCTCTTACCTTTTTTTTTCTTTTTTCCTTTTTTTTTTTTTTTTTTTTTTTTGTTGGTTCTTATTTTTGTTTATTTGTTTTGAGACAGGGTTTTTCCGTGTAGCCCTGGCTGCCCTGGAACTCACTCTGTAGACTCAGCTGGAACTCAGAGATCTGAGTGCCTCTGCCTGGGATTAAGGGTGTGTGCCACCACTGCCTGGCTGACCTTTTTCTTGAGTCACTCTCTTCTGCATTTACCTTGGGTTCCGAGGGTGACAGGACTGTTCCCTGTAGTAGCCATCTTTGTGACAAAGGACCAAAACTAATTACATGCAGCCGAGCCTAACAGGAGCTATCACCCCATGCTGAGATCAGTCAACAAACAGTTCCCGTGAAGGAACCCCTGAACAGGACAGGAGCCATCATCTTGTTGGAAACCAGATGGTTCACCTCAGGTGCCGAGCATGAAGAAAAACTTCTCCAGCAGCCCTAAGAGCCAGAGCTGTCATAATAATCAGTCAGACCCCAGGCCAGACCAAGACGGCCTGCTTTTCGGCTGGCCACAACCACAAGGCTTCCCCCTCACAGGAGAACGTCAAAGTGCCTGTCAGCCTCGAGAGGACGGATTTGGGGCTCACTGAACCCCTTTAAAGCTTCTTCCTCTGACAAGGCAGAGTCTTATACCTATAAACCTAGCAGGGAGGAGGATCATGGGTTCAAGCAACTTAGTGCCACCCAAACAGGCATGGCAGCTCACACCTGTAACACAGGATCAACAAGATCCAAGGGATAGCAAAAGCCAAGAGTGTTCACCTCTGAGCGCTGTATTTCCCAATGTTTTCTTGTAACCTCGTGACTTTATTTCCTATCTTGTCCAATTAAAATTTTTTTTTTATTAGAAAAACATTTTTCAAGACGGTCTATTAAAAAACAAAAACTGAGGGGATGGGCTTTCAAGTGCTTACCTTTATGATTTTTAAATTATTAAAGACACACCTGTAATCTCAGAACTCAAGAGGTGGAGAAAGAGGCTTGTTCTGCGTTCAAGACCAGCCAAGGCTACATAGTTCTAAGGACTTCTGAGTTACAGAGGGAAGTCCTGTGTCCTGGCTCAAAAATAAAATAAAATAAAATAAAATAAAATAAAATAAAATAAAATAA